GCTGAAACCAATGGCAGCTATGAGATTTTGACCTTAAAACAGGTATTGCTTGGAACAGAGGTGTTGCAAGAGTCACGATAACCTTGTTTGGTACGTTACCTAGGCTCAGAAAAGCAATGATGGAAATGGATTTGCTGTGGATCTGTCCGTAAGGGGATGGGGGCTGTTGTTGTGTAAAGATAATAACATTAGGAATGCAAATTATCCTAAAAAAGCTGGTGATATTTAAATACGATTTAAATTTATTTAGCATTTAAACAGAAAAGTAGAAAATGGCATTAAATTCAGATGAGGATAAGACTATGTGTTCTGGAGTCAGAAATATTAAATACATCTATAGAATGGAATAGAAGGTCTGCCTGGTAATGGATTGTGAGAAGAGTTCAGGGTTTTAATAGATCATTCCTTCAGATCATCAGCACAGTAAAGTGGTAGTTAATAAATTATTTGACGTGTACATTTACTCATATATTTTAACTAGCTGTAATGAACAGGTCCTGTCAGCTCACCTAGATCCTTGCAATAGCTGCTAAATCGCTTGAGTGAGATTTAGTAACCCTCAGCAATATTGATGTCTAGAGCTGCAGGTAGTAAATAAAGTGACACCAGGACTAGCTTGAGCAGAGCATTTTGTGAGACCTTTGTCAGGCTTGCAGCAGAGAAGAAGCTGTTTGGCCCCGATGAACACCACTGGGCATCAGTGAGCTCTTCCCTGTGATTAATTTTTGGTTGATGTGACCACCCCATGCCGTGGCACCTGTAACGGGACTCCTGAAGAACGCTTTGTCCTAATTTGGGGTTGACAAGAGAAATTTGTCCCTTACTCAATTCTGTATACAAGCAGTTGCCTGTTTCTCCCTGCAGGTATGTGATACTCCTTGGACTGCACACAAAGCAGAAGAGGAGGATAGTAGAGTCTGACTGAGCTTTGGGGAGTGGAGAAGAATCCTCTCTCGGTGCCATTATACTAGGACTATCCTGGTGTTGGAGTGGGAATTGAGGACAGAAATAAGCTGTTCTTTTATCTTAGATTATACTGGAAATGTTTATAGCAGAAAAAGCCTGCCTGTTAAAATGCCAAATTATACAGGCTATTAAGGACGCACCAGGCACCATTCCTTGTTATTCCTAGTTGTCCTCTGAACTTGGAGGTAGTTTAAACCTAGATCCTTTCTTTTCCTCCAACTCACTTTCCCAGCATGTGGTGTACTTTATAATTTGTGAAGAGACTCGTTCATTATTTTTTTTCTTTCTCCTTTTTTCAGGTTTCTGACAGATGTGACTATGTCTTTGTCAATGGGAAGGAAATGAAAGGCAAAGTGAATGTCATAGTTAATTTTACTTACCAGCATCTGAGTGCCCCTTTAGAAATGACAGTCTGGGTTCCTCGTCTCCCACTGCAGATAGAGGTCTCTGACACAGAACTAAATCAGATCAAGGGGTGGAGAGTCCCCATCATCTCTAATAAGAGGTAGGTTTCATTAGAGGATGTTCATTCTGGGCTGTGCACTTGCCAAAGACTGTCAGGGCCAGTGGATCTGAACATGCTCATTTGGCCTTAATGCAATTCTGGTGTAAATTTGAAGGTCACCAGACATTTATTCAATAGGTTCCTGCACTGGACATATGAGGGAAATGGAAACTGTAGGTTGCATGATCCTGCACTGGAAATCAATTTCCTTTTATAGCACTAGTGACAGAGGTGGAAAGAGCCAATTGGTCAAGTGAAGCAGTAGGAAGACATCAACAAGGACCAGCTCTAGCAAGGCTGGTCAGTCTCCAGCCTGGTTTGCAGGTTCTGCTAGTTAATGTATTTATTGTTAATGGTCACAATTAGTACATAGAATCATATAACGGTTTAGGTGGAAGGGATCATCTAGTTCCAACACCCCTACCACGGGCAGGGACACCTCCCACCAGCCCAGGTTGCTCCAAGCCCCATCCAACCTGGCCTTGAACACCTCCAGGGATGGGGCAGCCACAGCTTCTCTGGGCAACCTGGGCCAGTGCCTCACCACCCTTATTTTGAAAAGTTTTTCCTAATATCTAATCTAAATCTCCCCTCTTCCAGTTTGAAGCCATTCCCCCTCATCTGATCACTACATGGCCTTGTAAAAAGTCTCTCTCCAGCCTTCTTGTAGGTGCCCTTCAGATCTTGGAAGGCCACTATAAGGTCTCCCTGGAGTCTTCTCTTCTCTAGGCTGAACAATCCTAACTGTCTCAGCCTGTCTTCATAGGATAGGTGCTCCAGCCCTCTGACCATTTTTGTGGCCTCCTCTGAACCTGCTCCAACATGTCCATGTCCTTCTTATGTTGGGGACTCCAGAGCTGGACGCAGTACTCCAGGTGGGGTCTTGCAAGAGCAGAGCAGAGGGGCAGAATCCCCTCCCTCCACCTGCTGGCCACGCTGCTTCTGATGCAGCCCAGGATATGGTTGGCCTTCTGGGCTGCGAGCGCACATTGCCGGCTCATGTTGAGTTTCTCGTCAACCAACACCCCCAAGTCCTCCTCAGGGCTGCTCTCAATCTGTTCTCCCTCCAGCCTGTATTTGTGCATGGGATTGACCCAGCCCATGTGCATGACCTTGCACTTGTTTCATATCACTGTAGGGTCCAGCGACACTGATCAGTGTCCCAAAGTCAGGACACTGATGCACTAGGGCTTTAAAGATACTGTCCGTGCCCACAGGTCAGTGACGGGCGAATGACAAGACAGAGGATGGATCTAGGCAAATCTGGACTGGTTGTATCTGTTGCTAGTGTTATTAAGAACCAGAAGAACAAATTAATAAAGTAGGTACTTGCTATTCCCACCTACCTATGAAAACATCATTTATTACCATGTTTCTGTTAGTATCACAGCCAAGAGATGGGGATTTTAGTGGAGATGTGATTTCAACCTGAATGCCATACAGAAAGGAATGTGTATGTGGGTGCAGAGGAGATTTCCATGGCAACACAAAGATGTTTATGGGAATATCCAGAAAGAAAAAAAGTGTGAAGGTCCTGAAAGTAAGAACTTAACATGGAAAATAATGAGAGATATTTGGAGAGGACAGTGTGATAGCAAAGCTAGCAGCCTGGTTATTTCAAAGCTAGCAGTTGGTTATTTCAGCAGGTGATTTGGAGATCGAGGCAGCCTAGAGGTCTCAGTTATGAACAAGGGAAACAGGCTAAAAGTGGGGGAACCTGACTGATTTCAGAAATGCACTGAAGGAAGCAGCTTCAGCAGAGCAGTGGAAGGGGGCAAAGGCCCCTTGTTCCAGCGACTAGTCTGCAGTCTCATGTCAGCAATGTCTCTCCTATTGCAAGCTCTTCCCAAACCAGTTTCAATTAATTTTTGATTCTTGGTTTCCTACCAGACCAGCCAGGGACAGTGATGACGAAGAAGAGGATGAACGTAAGGGAAGAGGCTGTGCACTTCAGTACCAACATGCGATGGTGCGAGTCCTCACACAGTTTGTAGCTGAAGCCTCAGACCCCAGTGGCCAGCTAAGCTATTTACTGGGTTCTGACTGGCAGATTGACATTACCGACCTGGTGAGTGACTTCATGCAGGTGGAGGAGCCAAGGATCGCTAAGCTGCAGGATGGACAGGTTTTGATCGGGCAGGAGCTTGGAATGACAACGATTCAGGTAGGGAAAATTAATTACTTATTCCTTTTCCTCCATTAACCGGCCACCCTGGGAGCTGAGGTACTGATGAGGTGTACAGCAGCTTCTTGCATTAGCAACAGAAATTGGAGCCATGAGGCTTTGAATGGAGCAGAATTGCAGCAAGGACTGGAAAACACAGAAGAGATGGTTTGCTCTTCTTATCTTGTGCCCTAAAGTAACATAGGTTGGACTTATAGTAAATGTAGTCCAACATGTATATTTGGAGGCTGTTTCTGATTATTTTTGTCTAAGGCTTTTTTGAGCTGGAGCCAGTACATGGGCTATCACAAGACATGCAGCTGGTGAAACAGATCAGTCTTCTCCAAGCCTACGCTGAGAGAGCAAAGGGTGAAGTGCCTCAGTGTCCCCGCTCTGACGTAATTCACCTAAACTTATGCATTGTGTCATTGGCAGCTTTTCACATGTAGTTCTTCCTGCCACGCAGAGAAATACTGGCCTGGAAAATGAGGTCCCAGAAGAAACAGGAAGGGGGGAAAAAAAAAAAAAAAAGAGAGTAATCCAGTGGTACTACAAAGTAGAAAACATGTTAACAAGCACTGGCACAGGAAAAAGAATCTAGCTCTCCAAACGTGCTCATCATCCCAAACTGTCAAACCAGAAAACAACAACCACACCTGTCGATAACACAGGTTGTCAGGGCTGGAGAAACAGTATTCAAGATTTTGACTTCGCAAAATCTATGTAGATTTTCCGAATGACTTTCCAAAGCTTTGGGACTTAAAATGCTCCAACAAAAATTCACATAAAACTGTGTAAAGCTGAGAACAATTGTATGTAAAGAATACCTCTTATAAACTGCTTCCAAAATGCTCTGTACCCTATATAGATCATTAAATTCAACTTGCTTGCTAATGAGCATCTTTGGATGTCATGTATCAGTGCACTGACCTCCATGCACATTTTTTTAATACAAACAAGTTTTGTCTGTCAATTTTGTATACAGTACCATGAGTGTTTATTGTAGCAATACATTAGCCTTCTTTCTGTAGGATAGAAATAAATGCCATTGATTTTATATAAATCTACAGATTGCATTATATATGTGCTACCTGAAAACACAGTCATTAATAAAATAAATTGCATTTTATATAAAGATTACATTTTCAAATAGTTGATATGTCTGAAACAGATGCAGTTAGCATAGTGCAGAGGTGAATGGCATAGCTGATTAGAATTACATGGGTAAAAGATTTTTTAAGCACCCTATTATTGCAGAAGAGTTATAAAATGTGACTAGCCACTTTTTAATCATATTCTAATAGTGTCTGTCTGCTAAGAGTAATTCTGCCCATTAACATAAATATTACTTATCTGTATTACAGTAGCTCTGTGTAGCTATTTTGCTTGGTGCTATGTAAAATGGCTGTTGCTAACTTTGCTTTTTCTTTTCAGATATTGTCCCCCCTTTCGGATGCTATTCTGGCTGAGAAGACAGTGACAGTTCTGGATGAGAAAGTGACAATAACTGACCTGGGAGTGCAGCTGGTGACTGGATTGTCGCTTTCTCTGCAGCTCAGTCCAGGAAGCAATAAGGCCATCTTTGCTACAGCAGTAGCCCAAGAGCTGCTCCAATCTCCAAAGCAGGTACTGTTGCCCACATGTATGGTGTTGTGGAAGGATACCGCTCTGATTCGCTATACCCAACATTATAAGCTGATGGAATCAAGCAGGTTTTTATTAATAATATACTAATCAAACATTTTCCTTATAGGCACTTTTTTCTGAAGGCCACCAGGTGATCTAACAGAAAAACGGCACTGTGTCTACACAACCCCAGTCAACAAACAAGCGTACTCCATCTGTCATGGCTGCATACCGTAAATAACACATGCAGTTCAATGATGTGTCATAATTAGGCAACAGCAGTCCCCTTACACACACACCCCCACACACACCCTTTCTGTCCCATCCAGCACCTACTATATCAGAGGAGATATTGCCAACTAGATTGCCAAGTACAGCCTTCCACCACAGGCAACCGAATCAACCCTTTAAGCACATCTTTAAATGAGAAAGTTTTTCATGCAGTGCCAAACTCTTCTTCCTTTAGTTACTTTCTGTGAGCATTTTAAGAAGCTGGGGGAACATCCCTTTCATTCTGATTCATTACTGGAATATGAATCAGCATCATTGACTCATTTCCTGATTCATGATTTCATAAACCAACTTTTGTTTCCCTATTATTCTTAGTCCCTATATTAGGGAACCAACAGTTACCAAGGGATTTTGGACTTTACCATGTCCCTGTCAGTCCCTGCTTGATATTTGTCCTTGTGCTTCCGACTGCATTTGAAATTTAAACTTTTTCTTCAACCCAAATCCATCAGCCTGGGATGCACTGGGCTCTTAATGCTTAAACGTGTTCTGAGCTTTAAAGGTAAATGATCATGGCATGCAAGTTTGAAATCTGGCCAACTGTTGAGATGCTTTAATTCATCATAGGATCTTATCCTTGGGATGCAGGATGAGAAATAATGCAGAACTGCTGTCTTTATAGGGTGATAAAAGTCAGGCTCCCATAGTATTCGAGGAGTTAAGAAATCGATGCCAGGCAGCTAGAAATAGGGCCAGTGAGCTAATCCTTTGCTGACATGGGGAGTTAAACAAACTACCTTGAAATCATCCCAAAAGCCAGAGTTGATGTCATTTATTCCCAATATGCTGCCCAGCACTGACCTTTCAGTTCCCAGAAACAGAGTCTAGATGAGTCCCTCTCTGGACGCAGGGGTACAGTGAGAACAACACTGGGTCAGTGTTAAACCAGCGAGGAAGATGTGCACCCTCCACCCTTCAAGGACTGCCTCCACTTTGAAAGGCATCTGATTCCTTCTGTTGCTTAGTACGTGATTTTTAGAGCACAATCCCTACAAGCAAAGCAAGGCAAAATTATTAAATGATTATGCAGGTTTAAGCAACACAGTGGGAGGATGAGAGTTGATGACATAAATGCTATGCGGCCTTCAAGAAACATCCAAAGATTAATAAACACAAAGCCGGGATTTATGACAGTGTCAGCAAAGTCTTAGGGCTCTGTCCTGAAATAGAGACAGAAGCAAATCTCCCATTGAAGCACGGGGAGCTTTGCGGCTGTAAGGATTTCAGAATCAGGCCAGTAGATTATGCACGATACAATCCCAAAAGACTGGAGGCTTATTCTCCATGATCTGAGCAGGTGAATGACTATGTGCTAGAAACAATTTAAAAGATAATGATAAACATTTATTCTCTGTATATATGTTGAGTTAGAGTGTAAATACCATCTGTTTGAAAAACTGCTTATTTAAAGAAATGGGACTTGTATAATCACGCTTTCAGCAAGCATGGTTATTAATCTTTTGGTTGGGTCTTTGTCTGTCTGTCAGGCTGTCCCTCAGAGCAGGATGATCCCACCTCTTACCAGACAAGAGCTTGCATCATTTTAGACACCAAAGAATCCACACATCAAGCCAGGAGTCTTTCTGGTGTGGATTCTCCAGCGTCTAATAGGGTGCAAATATCTCAGCTGAAATGGAGCAAGTCAGAGCATCAGAAGCAGGAATTAGATTCTAGGAGAGCAATCTGAGTCTTGTCTGTAAATTATTTATGTGTGGATCCCAAGTCTTTTTCAGGTAGCATGACAATTTTTGATAGCCCTTTGAGAGTCCTCAGAGGACTTGATATTCAGAAATGGGTGAGCACATGTTTTCTGAAATCTAAGAATACGTTAAAATGTTTCAAGTTGGAAACCAAAATCGAGGTTTCAAGGAATGCTGCACCATCACACACGTGCAGGAAAGAATTAGTACTCAGGTCTGACCCTTTTACATGCCATAAGCCTCCATGCAATATACAATCTGAATTGCTGTGACACGAGATTAAACTTCATTATTGTCTTGCTTTTAATTGCTAACAAGCATGAAAATTACCCTGGCCATTTCCTAAAGAAGCAACTGATTGGTTTTCTCTGCTTGTACAAAACATTTATTTAATTTGAGAGACAAAAATCAAGGACTGAAGTTATGGATCCATGTATGAACCTACTTGCTATATTAGGTATATTTTAACATGTGTTGTGTGTAACAAGAGGAGACTTTGTATTTTAAGCAGTTTAGAAATAATGTAATTTTTTTTTTTCATTTAAATATACAACAGTAAATGATCTCAGTCACTGGTAATGCTTTCTGACATGCAATTTATTATGGTGCTGAAGTAGATTCTGCAGAGCCCAGGGGATACAGCTCCTTTAAGCACCTTTGAGGAAACAAATCTTATTATCAATGAGCGTTTTAAACTAGCATTTCTCTTCACATTTTTGGCAAGGTTTTAATTTTATTGCTCTCCCTTTTCATTTCTTTTCTGGTTATAAATGGTATACGGATCTTGTGAGGAGGAGGGAATAGACCAGGGCAGAACATATTTCCCTCGATGTTTGTTCTGAGTGCGCGTGTATTTGTTTTATATATTATAGGAAGCAGCCATCAGCTGCTGGATCCAGTTCAGTGATGGATCTGTCATGCCCCTGGATATTTATGACTCCAAAGACTTCTCCTTGTCAGCTACATCTTTGGATGAGAAGGTCGTCTCCATTCACCATGACCCCAAATTCAAGTGGCCTGTGATTGCTGCTGAGACAGAAGGCCAGGGGACACTGGTGAAGGTGGAGATGGTGATCAGTGAATCATGCCAGAAATCCAAGAGGAAGAGCATCCTAGCTGTTGGAAGTGGTAGCATTAAAGTCAAGTTTGGGCAGAGTGATGCCAACCCTAACGTCAGTGACAGTAAACACAGGGGTGCTGGTGTCCACCTAGAAAATCATGCCAGTGACCGGCGTCAGAAAACCACTTTGCAGGAAAGAGCTGGCCTAGATGGCCGGTACTACAGCTCCTCAATGGGCCAAGAGCAAGGCAGAGGGACCACCACCCAAAGGTCTATTTTAAGTAAAAAAGAAGACAGAGAAAGCCTCCTGGATGACGACAGTCATCTGCAGAACATCCCAATAGACTTCACAAGCTTCCCTGCACAGGTGGATCTGCCAAGAAGCAATGGAGACTTGGAAGAGAATGACCTAGTCCAGACCCCTAGGGGACTTAGTGATCTGGAGATAGGAATGTATGCTCTTCTGGGAGTCTTTTGCCTGGCAATTCTGGTCTTCCTTATCAATTGTGTCACTTTTGCTTTGAAGTACAGAAACAAACAAGTTCCCTTTGAAGAGCAAGAAGGCATGAGCCACTCTCATGACTGGGTTGGGCTAAGCAACAGGACAGAACTTCTGGAGAATCACATAAATTTCTCATCCCAACAAGATGAACATATCACAGCCATTGACAGAGGAGTGGACTATGAAGAGAGCAAATATCTCCTCAACACAAATGCCGCCAAAAATATTAATGGACAATCTTTCAGGTCTACTGAGTCCACATTCACTGAAGGGAAAGAACAGAAAAGTGAACCAACTACTTCTCCTACCTCTAAGAGGAAACGGGTTAAATTCACCACCTTTACCACCATCTCCTCTGATGATGGGTGTCCAACTGTCAACTCAATCTTGATGAGTAGTGAGGATGACATTAAATGGGTCTGCCAGGATATGGACCTGGGGGAGTGCAAAGAACTTAAAAACTATATGGAGAGATTACATGAAAATGTGTAATGAGACACAAAAGACTTTTTTGTTTGGTTTGTTTGTTCGTTTGTTTTTCACTCACCTTCTGCCTTTAATTTTGGGTAGTGGGGCAAAAGGTTGTCTTGATAACAAGAGTCAGCTGGTGGATAATAACTCAATGGAGCCCCAAGAAGCCACCCAAAAGCAGCTGGGAGAGCAGAGATCCTGGACAGCTCTTAAAATTCAAGTCTTCTCTGTGCTCAGAGATGGAAGTGAGAGATGTGTGTGGTTTTTTGATGCATGGTAACATGAAAAAAAAAAAACTTAGCAAAATAATACGGTCTCATTCTCTGAGCTTTCCCAGGAAATCAATAAATATAACAAACTCCAGTGCGGTTTGGATATTACAAAGTTCACACAGCTCTACTGTTCAATATTGCAAGCTTTGGTTAAAAGCAAAAAATTGTTCTCAGAATAAATAGATCCAGGAAGAGAGCATGTCATTCAAGCCACATGCAGAGAATATACATCCAAGAACATTAATTTAAAGCTGACAAAAAACCAACAGTCTGAGCAAAGCAGTTCCCAGAGCTGAAAAGTCATGAGTTTCCAAAGAATCTGGAGGGGGAAAAGGAGTAACTGGGCTGTTTACAAACCAACATGCTTGCCTCCCAAGCACTGAGAATGGATACACATATACAGTTAAAACTGAAACTCTCTTTTAAAGTAGATGCCAAGGTAATAAACTTTGCCAGCCAATTTTCAGTATTTCTTAATTTGTAAAATAGGAGAAGGTATAATCTATACTCAGAATATCACTCATATAAAGGAAGGTCTGTTTTGGAAAGTTTGAGAGAATAAGCTATTTTTAAAAGTCCACTTTATTTGATTGTCCTGTTTCAAATTTGTATTCCCAGCCATTTCCCTGGAGTGCTCCCCATCTGGTATCCTGAGGGCAATTGCTAGCATCAGTCAACTTGGGAAGCGTGTGGTTTCTTCCTTCCCTTCCGTGCACACTCGCTTCTCCACGATGTGCTCTTGCCAAGCACAGACACTCTCGAAACCACGCTGGTACTTGTTTTACATGCTGTCATTTACCAAAGTTGGCCACTCTCTCTTGGGTAAGTGTAATTTGTGCTGAACTCAGACACCAACAGCAACTGCCTCTTTCTCCGTCCCCTTCCCTGGGAGAGGTCAGGTTGTTCAGTTCCTTCTGCTCATGCTTCTTCAGCCCCTGCTCCGCACGTTTAGAGGGCACTCACAGGTCACAGAGGAGTGCTGCACGTTCAACATTGAAACCTGAACGGCTAAACTCGGCAGATAACATTTGTTTCTCCTAGAGGTGATGATTATCTTTTGTTTTCCTCTGATAAGGCTGTACATACGATAGGATTTCAGTGATTACCCTTTGAATCCGATGTGCCCTCTAGCCCTAAAACCATGACATTTTTTTGTGAGGTCCAAAAGCAGTCTCCAGTGACCAGTGGCAAAGTGCCAAAGCACTAACTAAAATCCAGCTTATATTTCAAGTTTTCCTTTCCTTTCCAGAGTGAGTCCTTGCCCTCCTTTTATTATTAAGTCTCTTTCTGTCATTGAATCTAGGTTGCTCAGTTTAATACACACCCTCCCTCCCACAAGCACTTAGATTGAATCCCTCTATATTTAGAATGTACTGTAGATTGTAAGAATGTAATATATATATTTATAAACATGCCAACTGTGAATAAAATTTGCATTTTAGTGGCTTCATCTTTTTTCCTACTCTGAATGCCTCTTTCCTTTCACTGTCAGAACGTTTACCCTAAAAGACACTGGCAGCAATATGGAGACTTGTCCTTTGATGAAACGGTGAATTAAGGCTCTTGACACAATCTAGTCACAAAGTTTTACGTTGTGCAATGTTGGGGGGAGAAGATACAACATCAACGACATGTTATGCTACAAATGTATTTGCACCAAGTCACCCTTCCAAGATTTGAAACTATTTGCAAATAAATCCACCTGCATATTTCTAGCCTGAAAGCCTGATATGTGAGTTTCTGGTTTTGGTGCGATTGAGAAGATCCACACTTGGCTAAATGCCCTCGAAGACAATTTGAAAAGAGTAAGTTGGTGTAAATAGAGCAAATGCGCCTGAGACTTTAGAGATCAATACTTGCACATCAGATGGTCTTTGCTTTCTTTCAGCACCTCTCACCAAGGCCGGCATTC